CCGCCAAGCCCCTGTGCGCTCGGACCTCGACTACCCATGGCCCAGCCCCCTTGGCCCTGGCCTCCTCCTCTACCTTGCGGCCTCCCTCAAGCCGCGACAGCAGCATAGGTCCTCCCTTGGCCTACACTACTGTCTTCCTCCTCTAGCCCCCACTCGATCTGACTGTAGGGGACTTCGTCAGTACCACCCTCATCCAAAGTAAGGATCAGGTGATCCTTTGCCCTGACCTGACCCGAGATGGTACGACCTTTCCACTTCTTTCCCTTGTCTAAATCCTTATGCTAGAAAGTGGAAATTGGCATGGATTTTGCCTCAAACAGGATTACCTCTCTACTCAACGCGTCATACGTGGTGGTGGGCTGTTGTGTTTTCTCAAAGAATTGCCCTCGTAAGGGCTCTGGCATGGCACGATATAATAAGTTAACTAACTGAGTCTCAGTGACCCCGTGGTCTAGGATGGCTACCAGATCATCCATAATTGCCTTGAGTGCTCTCGCACTCTTCCACTGCCGTGAGTGGATTGTTTGCAGTTTGTCAGAGGCCCTGACGCCTCACGTGACGTCAGTGAACCTCTCTCTCAGGAGTTTGAGAAATTTGGGAAGAGGGGTGAGTTTGGAGTATGCAACCATATTGTGTTCACAATCGGCTGCTCGCGCGAGGGACCTAGCAAAATTGGTCGCTTCGTCTCGTAATGCGTGGAAGACCTCGAGGACTTATTCCTCTGGTGCAATGTGCTGCAAATACACGTACGTGTTGATACTGGCCTCCCAGTTATCAAAGTTCTCGTCCTTTTTCCCGCCATACGAGTTAGGAAACTTAAGCTTGGCAAACTCTTTGCGGGGACGCGCTTCACTCTTTGCAGCGGCCACTACTTTGGCGCCCTCAATGGCGCCTGCGCAGAATTTCTCTGCGCTGTTCTTTAACTTTCTAACTTTCGTCCCAACATGTGTCATTACATCCCGCACGAAGTCCCTGAAACGAGACCGGATGGAGTGGAGGGCCATGTCTTGGCCCCTAACAGACTGATGGTGTTCGGTCCAGGCCCTGCCTAGGAGCTCGATGCTCCCAAGGATCTTGTCTAACTTAGCCTGGATGTCAGCCTGGGCCTCTACTTCTTGTCTACATGTCTGTAAACTTTCTACTTCTCTAGCCATCATGTTGGCTTCCTCGGTCCTCCTCTTCTTCTCCCTTGCCAGGCGCAACTTCCAGCCCAACCTCTTCTCATTCTCTATGGCCTGGCGTTCTAGGGGATCACTCGTTGCCTCGATCTCTGTAATTGCTGCTTCCTTCTCCTCCTGAGGTATGTATAGCATCGATTCTTCGTCCTCCCCTAATGATAAATTAGCCACCCATTCAGATATCCTCTTTGCCACCCACGGGTCATCCTCTTTCGTGCCGCTGCTTCCTTCTCCTTCCCCCAATCTTCTCCTACTGAGGGGCTCTTCTTCCGGCTGCTCCTCCTCCTCTTCAACCTCTTCCTCTACCGCAGCCCTTATTTTCTCCTCCTCCTCTTGCTGTAATCTCTTCATCTCCTCCTCCAGCTTTTTTTTCTTCGCCGCCTGCTCCTCGGCTATCACCTTCATCTTTGCTTGCCTAAGGAGCTCCTTCCCTTTTCTCTCTACTGAGGATGGTGGCGGCCTGCTCCTCTTGGGCCTTGCTATACGGCATGGTGCTCTTCCCACTGCAAGTGTCAACCATGGTGATAAGTGCACAACCGGACAGCAGTCCCAAACCTCACCACTTAGACCTCGGCACCTAACTGACTGGACCTAGACTCAATCTAAAGGACCACAAAATCCAAGTAGGATCCTGTCAACTAGGGTCTCTGACCTAGACCTAAGCTATGGTTGTCACTACAGGACTTGTTGCTGATCAGGAGGCATTTAAGGAGATCCCCCATAACTCCGCAGGAATTATTTAACGTCGTAGACAGGACGACGCGATCAGCAAGTCCTCTCAAGACTTAGACAGCCTGTTGTGCAGCCCACAGCTCGGATTTTGGGCCTGCCGTGCCACACCGAGCAGCCCACCGGTCAGTACTGGTCCTTGGGAGGGTTCGTGTCCTGCGGGACAGTCGAGTCGTCAGACACGGCCTTTAGCCCTACTCAGCCCATGTGGGTTTGGTCAACAAGGCTCTATCCTTCATACACGGAGTTCCTATCACCTGGACAGAAGAGACTCAATGCATAAAGAAGAGACAAACAGACTCAGCAAGTACCATAGGGTGAGTGCACATCCATAGGGCGAGGGGATAGGCTAGGGCTTGGCGAGAGTATACCAACTCCAGCTTGGTCAAAGTCGCAGTCAACGGCCTTGGTCAACGCTTGGTCAACGCTGGTCAAAACCCCGGTCAACGCTCCGGTCAATGTTCTGGTCAACCTTGGTCAACGCCCGGGTCAACGCCCAAATCAACTTCGGTCAACCAACCTCCAACTCAGCTATGGAGGCCACCTTCTTCTTCCTCACCACTCTTCTTCTTCCTCCTCCTTTCTTTCTCCTACCTCGTCTTGCTCTTTCTTCACCCTGGCTATGTCTTCCCTCTTCTTCTTCGTCTCTCCTTCCTCGTCCTCAACTATGGCTTCTCTCTTCTCTTTCGCCTCTCCCTCCTTCTCTCTTGTTCGTCTTCTTGCCTCCGTTCTCCGTGTCCGAGCTCTGCGGCTATGGCTGCCTTGTTCTTCCTTGGACCGCACAACC